TAGAAAGACAAAGGTCACTTCTCCCGTCAAAATAGACGTCAAAGCTAGAAACCATCTATTTGACCGTCGCCGCAAGCTAGTGGACTCTGGTCGGTAACAAAGCCACAACACCAGCTTTGGCAAACTGAGAAGCGTCCACCTAGAGACCATGGTATATGTGTGTGTATGTTTTAACATGTCAAACAATTACATAAAGAATGATCTGTATCTTAACTACATTGTCCACACATCTCTTAACGAATGAACAGAAAGGTCAGCGCAAGAGAACATGGTCGACATCTTCAATTCTGATCCTCAGCGGCTCACCAGAGATGAGCCGAGAGTTAGAGGCAATCAAGCCGAGCCTGGATTCAAGAAAGTGAGGATAATCAAATTGAAGTTTAAATGCCTTCACGTTCTTTGATTGACCAACCTAAAATTGGAGCCGATTACAAAACTTTAAAAATATAGACAAAATTATGGACAACACAGTACGACATGCAGCAAAAGAACATTTTAAAAGTTAAAAATAACAATTTAACGACGAGACAGACCAAGAACCATTCGAAGAAAATAATAAAAAAAACTAAACGTTCAATATATATAAGTGAACATACTTCATAAAATAAAAGTCGGTGGACGAGTGGGTAACACCCTCGATTCCCGACAGTCATGAACCGGTATCCAATCCCACGTTAACATTTTGTTTAATATGTGAATAACCTTCACATATTATTCATTGTTTCAATTATCATAAACTAGGTTGTTCTTGTTGAGCGGTACCTAATAAAGTGATTTTGAACCGGATGAACATAGTTGTGTGTGTGAAGTGAAGAACATTCTAAAAAGGCAGACGAGACAAATTTATGAGCGCCACAAATACAGCAGAAGAATATTATTCAATAAAATATTCCCTTGTATCAATATAGAGTAAAAATACCCGGCCTTCAGGGAAAAGTATTTTTTCAAAAACTTTTTTATTCTCTAGCTTTAGGGTACGAAGGCCCTTCTACCATGTTTTCTCCCGTAGAAGGCGTTAGTGCCCGAAAACTAGAGAATAAAAAAGTTTTTGAAAATAAAATTTTCCTTGGAGATCTATTATTTTTACTCAGAAGATAATTATAAAAAGCCAAACGCGACCGACATACGAACGTGACAGACCTGATTGAAACAAACAGCCAATAATAAAAAAGCCAACAGACGAAGTCAACTTACGGGCGACACAGGCCGAGAGGAAACAGACGAAGATGACCACCGCGGTGAATTTCTCCATGACAGCCGCCAGAGTGGCCCACGCCGAGCTGCGCGCGCATTTATGGCCAGCAGACGATCATGTGGGCCGGAAACCGGGTGGATGTTTGCAGTACGACATCCGGTCGAGTTAAAGAGTTGTGCAAATTTACTTTTTATTTACATATCCTTTTCTAGCAGGCCTCGTGATCGAGCAAACTAGGGCATTCAGCGGCCGCTCCAACCGATTGTTTAGTGCACCAAAAGATAATTTAACAAATAACGAACTTAACATGAAGTTTGTAAATGCGCTGTTCAAAAAGAGCTGTCTATATAGCAATAGTTCTCAACTGAAATATCCAGGTCTCTCCTCGGAATTTATTACTTGTGTCTTCGTTGAAAATTAACAATTTTGTAATTAACAATTTGCTGTAACATTTCCCCATCTTTTCGATAAAGTCAAAAAACAAGATATGAAATCACAGGCTTGGACACTGTTCAATTTTTCAATGTGGCCTGATTTTTGATATTGATCCTTTAAGTTCTTTTTGAGTATACTAAAAAAAATCACAGTCAAAAGAGTAAGGGGGATGGGAGAGGGGGGTAATGTCTCTTACATTGGGGAGACAGGTCGCTTCCTAGGGACCAGACTCCAAGAACACAAAACTTCTTGGAAATATGCAAAAGAAAGGTTTGCCATGGTGGAGCATGGTCTTCAATCAGGACATGAGCCAGATTGGGACATTACTATCTACAGGGGTAACCAAAGGAAGTTCCTGGAGGCATTAATGAAGGAATAGATAGGAAGAAATTGTTGAGTTTGCTTAGAATTTTTAATGAAACTGATTCTAAGAAAATATTAATTATATTTATGGATTTACAAGAGAGAGAACAAAATAAAAAAGGGAAACTTATATTAAACAAAGGAACTTTTTCTTTCTTTCGGTTAGCGCCTATTTACCTGTGAGCTTACACACACTCTGTGGTAACAATTAATTAATATATATACAACAGAAATTCCCGACCCTTATGTGTCTCTTTTAACCTTTTTTTTCTAATAATCTCAGTCAACTTAATTTGTTTATATTTTTTATTTCCTTATGTTTTGTTCAAACTAATAACATATATATTAATCAAATTTCCCCCTTTTTTCTGATCTATTATTATTATTATTTTTATTATTATAATTTTTATTCTCTTCCTCAACTCTATCTCACACACTTGTACATTATATAACACTAGCCGAATGGCCCGGGCAACGCCCGGGTTTTACCCGAGTGCGTATATATTTTAAAAACGTTTTAATTCAAATACTATTCGTTACAATTATAAATTGGCGCCATGGATGTCACTCTTGTGAAACGTCCCGTTCCAAACTGTGTGTTTTTAAAATGTTTTAATTATATATAATATAACGGTATAATAACAGTATAAAGAAATAATGAGCCTATAGCCTAGTGGTCATGGCATCTGCCCGGTAAGCGGAAGGTCGTGGGTTCGATTCCCATCCACAGTGAACTTCACACAGACAGAATAAGGCAATTATATAAGTAGACTAGCGGATGTGTACCCGGCTTCGCCCGGGTTTTATCCGAGTGAAAGTTTGCCTAACGAATATTATATATTATGAAGTATAATAAACAATGTTAAAGATTAGTTTTAATTATTAATCAAGATTGTGTGTGAATATGTGAGAAAGATGTAATATCGTTGTTGTTTTCTTGGCCGACTGTTTTACATATGGTGTTATCTTAAAATTGCTTGTTTTGAATATTTTTTTAGATTGAGTTGAATGAATTGCTGATTTTTTTTTGTATTTATATATAAATAAAATTAACTCTGTTGATTTTTTTTTTTTTTGTATTTAATCGATAACAGCGAAGTTACGCATGTTAAAGTTAGGAAAAATATTTTGATGTTAAGCAAAACCTGCTCCATCTCGTTTTACATAAATGTTGAAAATTTGGTCGAAATTGATGCATTGTAACGAAAGTTTTTAGCGAACACCACTTATGAAATTTGCATTTTATTAATATAGATAGATACTGCATTACTCTTTTTACAAAATACTTCAATTTTCATATAATTTTTTTCTTTTTAATTTTTGAATATATTATCATCATCAATTATTTTTGACCAATAACAAAGTTGCTTCCATGTGATCTACAAGAATTTGTAAATTAATTTTATTGTGCAATAAATTGAGATAAAGAGGTTCTCATTTTGGTTAGCAGCCCCATAAAATAAAGATAAAGGGGGATCAATCTCTCGAAATATTTTGAGAAAAAAATTTTTTTTTCTTTACAGATCCAGGTATTTTTATATAAACTTATTTGATTGATCACCTTTTGACTCAAACTTTATTAAAGAATTTTTTTCAACCAGAATAAAAATGAAAATAAAATAGGTAAGACTTAGAACGCGGTTGATTCCACACTCGCCTGTTCAGTGATACGCTAACCATGACGTATGCACGAAGGAACGTGTGGGCATTGGACATGTGTCGGACCTGGAGGCTGTTGTTGGGTGCTGAGCTGCCTGGAGTATAGGAGCTCTATCTATGATTCTTTTCTTCCTGTTGTGAATCTTTATAAGACCGGTGGTCTTAATAAAGCTGTGTGTGTGTGTTTTTATAGAGGAAAATAAAAATGACGGTTATGTCTGGAAAAAAAATTAAACTGAAGCACCGTTCTGTATCCTGATGATGAATAATTAATCATATTTACCTCATCATATTTAAATCATGGACAATTTCTATGGACAACTACATAGCCAAGATGTGAAGTTCGGCCACCATTGGCTGGAAGAGTTCTGCAAGAAATAGACAGAAAGTTCTAAGTTGAAGTGTATATAAGTTATATATAGATGACCTTGGACATCTCAAATAACGGTAAAGAATAAAGATTCTCTTGATCTCCATTCTCCTTCACCCCACCCCTGAAATCTACAATAGAAAAATCCAATTATCTTCCCTCCCTGGATATTTGCATAACCTCATTCTTTGCAGCCAGCTCTTCGCCATAAATTATAAAATGGACAGATAGTTATATTTGCACACTCTCACAGTGTGGGTGTGTCTCATACAATCCCAGTTATGTAAACGTTCACAGAACAAACGCGCAACCATTCACCTACAACAGAATCAAGAAATAATGAATTTAAAGACAGTTTATGACATTCTTAACAAAAGAGGTTGTCCCGCTATTTCCATATCAAAATCCTGCCATGATGCTCACTAAGGAACAGTTCTGAATAGGCATATAAGAGGGTAAGGTGAACAGTTCTCGTCCTGAAGATGAAATATTCTTATTTTTAGTTAAAAAACGTTTTATTTCTCTACATAATCTCCCTTAACTTCAACACACTTTGGTCCAGCGTTTCTCCAATATCAGTTTTCCTTCCCGAGAGTCTGGAAGACTGTTAAAATATTCATCTACAGTCCTCTCTACTTCTTCATTAGACGTGAAGCGATTTCCTGAAACAAATTTCTTAGGTGTGGGAAGAGAAGCAAGTCTGAGGGTGCGAAATCAGGAGAATAGGGGGGATGGCCGAGCAAATCGTAGCTTAAATCCCGCAGTGTCCCCATTGCCAACACAATTTTGTGAGCAGATGCGGTGTCCTGGTGAAAGATGATTTTTTTATCCTCAGGCCAGGCCTCGCGAATTTCGACATCCAGCTGGTCAAGAAGGTTAGACACGTTAGCGCGCCATCTGTTATCAGAATTCGAAACTATCATAGACGGATTCTTTTAAAAATTAAACAAATTTCTACTGCCCTTACTGCAATGGAAAATTAATGGGAAGGCCTGGCTCATCAGTGGTGAAACCTCCCAGCAGTTTCGCCAGTTTAATCTACCATACCGCTGTTATATTGCATTTTTCGGTTTTCCATTTATACCGAGACTGACTCTGACCTCTTGGGAATCCCCAGTATCGGTATAAAAGGAAAACCGAAAAATACAATATAACAGCGTTATGGTAGATAAAACTGGCAAAACCGCTAAGAGGGTTCACCACTGATGAGCCAGGCCCTCCCATTAATTTTTCATTGCAGTAAAGGCAGTGGAAAATTGTTTAATTTTTAAAAGAATCATAGGCGTCTATGATAGTTTCGAATTCTCAAAAAAGGTTAGAGTAATATTCACCTGTAATAGTTCTGCCTTTTTTAAAGTTATCAATTAACAGGATCCCTTCGGCATCCCAAACCACACTGGCCGTGACCTTTCCAGCAGATGTGATCGACTTCGCTTTCTTTGGCGCTGAACCATCGGCTTCCACCCACTGCTTTGACTGCTGTTGGTTTCTAGCGTGTAGTGGTGGACCCATGTCTCATCCATGGTGACAAATCGCCGCACAAAATCGGTCGGATCCTTTTGAATAGGTCCAAACATTGCTTCAAATGTCGTTTGCGCATTCTCTTTTGATCTGCATTCAGCAAATGCGGCACCCACCTTCTCCAGAGATTTCGTATACTTAATTATTCGCGCCAGATATTCCGCGCATAGAATTGAGATATGAATTCAGGAAAAAATGGCATTTTAAAAAAGCCAATTCGATAGTTCATCGCTGTTCACAGATGAGATGTGACAAAGATGGAACATTATTGAGAACAAGATTTAGAATATACTGTTTGGTATTTTAAATGGCACAAAGTATTGTTCCAGGTTATAAAGAGTACGATGAGGAGGATGTCATCTAGGTCATCTCTCCAGTGCCGCACAGATAACTGTGGCACACTTGTCGTCTGCTACCTCTACCTTCTTATCATCATCACAATAAATTATATTTTTAATTGAAAGTTGTAGAAATAATTAGTTTCAATACTTGATGGGCCAATAGTGGGGTTAATAGAACATTTCTTTATTTCTATCATTAAGTGAAGTCATTACTTCAGGTTGCTTTTTTTTTTAGATCAAGGCATCATTTTGGGAAAATCGGGGGGCAGATAATATTTACCAATAATTTTATCTTAACTTATCGCGTTACCGTATCTCGATTTTGACCAAAGAAAAGGAGTTCTTCTCTGAAAGTTCGCCAAGGTTTAAATGAGTGCATATACATATTTATTATATGGTCCCCCATATAAAGAAGGAGAACAATAGCGCTGGTAGACATGTTGGAGTGACAAAAGACATCCTATTGCCAGGGGGTAGGTCCAGGTCCTGAATATAGAGGGAATAGGGGGTTGTGTAGCTTCCTCGATGCGAGGGGACTGGGAGATTCTGTCTTTTGGGTCCTAAGGTTTTATCTTGGCGGCAGAGTTCTACGAGGCCTGGGGATCTAACCAAGAGTCAAATGTTAGCTGATTCATCCTGAGTGATATCCATGCCCAGCTTAGATGGTGGTGTTGTCTCTTGCCAGGTATGACATCTCTAAGGTTTCAATGAGAATAAAGATATTGTGGATGTGGAATTTTGGATGGCTTTTCTTGATTTATCAGGAAATTGGGTTGACCAAATATCAGGGAACAGCTTAAATCAATGAATAGTTGATTTCTGTTCCACCAGATGGCGCTCTGCCTTCTGAAAAGCACATGTGCTCCTGGTCAGGATATGCCTTTTTTTTTAAATATCAACACCTGACTTACTATTTTTTATTTTTTTTCCATTGTTTTTTCATATAATTATATAAAGGGCGGATTTCTACAATTAGGAAACAGAAGATGTAAAGAATTGGGAAGGCTTGTCTCATCGATGGTGAACCGTCCCATTCAATCTCCGCTACACCGACGTATTGTATGTTGGTTCTGCTGGTAGAGAGACAGGGTTTGAATATTTATTCTTGGTGATGGACCATTTAAATATACGCTTTTGTAATTATGTAAATTAATCGTTTGGACTTATATAAGGGTCATTAGGGATATTATCAACAGTATACTTCAACACTCTCCAACCATGTACAGTACTACAATACTGGAGATACATCAACAGTATACTTCAACACTCTCCAACCATGTACAGTACTACAATACTGGAGATACATCAACAGTATACTTCAACACTCTCCAACCATGTACAGTACTACAATACTGGAGATACATCAACAGTATACTTCAACACTCTCCAACCATGTACAGTACTACAATACTGGAGATACATCAACAGTATACTTCAACACTCTCCAACCATGTACAGTACTACAATACTGGAGATACATCAACAGTATACTTCAACACTCTCCAACCATGTACAGTACTACAATACTGGAGATACATCAACAGTATACTTCAACACTCTCCAACCATGTACAGTACTACAATACTGGAGATACATCAACAGTATACTTCAACACTCTCCAACCATGTACAGTACTACAATACTGGAGATACATCAACAGTATACTTCAACACTCTCCAACCATGTACAGTACTACAATACTGGAGATACATCAACAGTATACTTCAACACTCTCCAACCATGTACAGTACTACAATACTGGAGATACATCAACAGTATACTTCAACACTCTCCAACCATGTACAGTACTACAATACTGGAGATACATCAACAGTATACTTCAACACT